CTCCTCGAGCTCGGGTATAGGGGTCATAATTATCAGCCTAGACAAGGTCACAGAAATTTAATATACATTCATATTTGAATTTGAAGCCACCAATAATGAGGCCGAGTGTGAGGTTGTCGCCATTGCTCTAGAGCTTGCCAACAACCTTGAGCTATAAATATCAAGATTTTTAGTGACTCACAACTTGTGGTTGGTTAGATTGAAGGAGCATTCGAAAGGAAATATGAGAAAAAGAGTTTATATTGTTTAAAAGTTTATGATCTTCAAAGAAGATTCAAGAATTTCAAAATTATGAAAATCACCCGAGCTGACCATTGTAAGGCTGATGCCTTGTCTAAACTTATATTCATGAGAGTAGAGAGACTTGACAAGACAATCCACATCAAAATTGTGATGGAACCAAACATAAGTTAGACACCCGACGTCATGGACATTAATCATGAACCCTCATGAATAGACCCAATAGTCGACTTCATAAGTAATGGAAATTTACAAGATGGGATCATCGGGCAATAGGTATCCGATCTTGATTACCAAGGTACTGCATGATCAGGGAAGCCCTATTTCGTATGAGCTTCACACCCTCATATCTTAAGTGCCTTAGACCTTCAAAATCATCCCAGGCCATAGCTGAAGTTCATGAAGAAGTATGTGAGAATCACCAGGAAGCTCGAGCCCTAGCATTCAAACTTATAAGATATGGGTACTACTTGGCTGATTATGAACAATGACGCCTCAATTATGTTAAGATATATAGCAAGTGTCACAGGTTCTACAACTTCATCCATTCCCCTACCGAGGGGCACATCCATATCCACTTTTTAGCTCTATTTGAATAATGAGGTGTAATCATCCTTCGCCCAATCCCTATGACAAGAGATCAATTGAAGTTCGTCACCGTAGCAGTGAAATTTTTTACTAAATGAGCAATGGTAGAACCTCTTGCAACAAGCCCAAGCTTAGGACATTCATGTGGAAGTCCATTATATACATGTTCGGGATACCCAGGGTCCTCATAACCCACAACGAAGGGTAATTTGATAATTCTCAATTTAGAAACTTTTGTACCAATATTGAGATTGACCATCGTTTGACATCTGTTTCACATTCTTAGAGCAATGGCCTTGTTGTGGTGACAAATCAGATTATATTACAAGACCTCCGAACAAGGATCGGGGATGCTAAGGGTGATTAGCTTGATGAGCTCTCTTCTATACTCTAGACATATAGAACATCTTACAAAACAACGACGGGCGAGACCCCCTTCCTGTTGGCATTTGGTGTTGAAGTTTCGATTCCGATAGAGGTCAGATTTTCTAACCTCAGGAGACTAGAGCTTGAGGTCGAGGATCATAAAATGGAATGCCTATACCTCATTGAAGAACTACGTGAGAAAACGTCCCTAAGAGTCGCGTATTATCAAAATAGAATAGCGTGACACTTTAACAATAACATGTAAGATCCAAAAAGGTTTAGGATCAGGGACCTAGTACTAAGAAGAGCACTAGTAGCAGGTTACACCCCTGCAAACTTGGGCCAACTTGGGAAGGGCCTTTCAAAGTTATACAAGAAATTGGTAAAGGAGCATAGAGCCTGGGAGATACCTCCGGAAGATCCCTCCCAAAACCTTGGAACGCTGATAATTTGAAGATTTATTACAAGTAGTTTGCCCTACCTTACATGGCAGCTTATGTAGTTTATTTGATTTTCTTTTACTTTGTTCTTTTTATTGTATTTGTTTTGGTCATGTTGCATGCCTAGTTGATTTTACATTTTCAGTTGGTCGGGCCTACGTGTCGTCATTCATTTTTAAATAGGAGTTAGTTTTGATTGATAGTCGTCGAGATCTTATCCCAATAAAAGTTTAAATTTCCATTCTAAATAGCACTCTAAGCCCTATCCTCGCTCGAGCACTCTAAGCATGGCCATGCGCAAGCACCTATCCCTTGTCCCACACAAGCACACCTAAGCTTTGCCCTATGCAAGCACACTTAAACCTTACCCTGCACCAACACTGCTAAGTAAATGTAGGCTCAAACTTTGAAAAACATCATACTTCTGAATATCATATTGTAATATATTTGGGATGTATATTCATCGGGATACATTGGATATGCCTATCAGTACACATTGAGCTTGACATCATCATCGAGCTCAATACTGAATAAATCTCGGTCATTAAGATCGAGTTTATTTGTTTATTTACACTAAGTTTGACGACGTCATCGAACTTATTATTTTGATTCAAATCTAGGCCTGGATCTCGGGTTTGTTCAATTTAAATTAAGTTCGATAATGAAGTCGAGCTTAATACTTCAAATCAAATATTAACCTAGAGCTCGGGTTTCATCAAGTTAAATTAGGTTTTGCCTAGTCGTTGAACTCAAGAGGTCAACTCAAATCTTTAAGATCGAGTTTAATTGGTTTAAATTAAGAGAGGCTAAATCGTCAAACTTGATACCAAGATAAAACCTAGCCTTAGAGCTTGAGTTTGATCAATTTACATTAGGTTTTGACTTGTTTGTCGAGCTTAATTCTGCAAATAAATCCTTATTAAAGTTTGAGATCGGTAAATAAATGATATTCTTAATCGTCTAGATAAACACTTGGCTAAAAATAATTCAAAAAAGAGATATATTTAATTCAAAAACAAAAGACGCCCTCGACGGTCAAGCAATGTAGTTAGAAAATAAAAAAAATGTTTACATAATTGAAATTTGATCGATGGGATACAAAGAAAATGAGGGGAATGGCCTTACCCGATGGCTACGCCCCTATCCTCGAGGACACCCTTCTCTTCATCATCATTGGCATCATCCTCGGATTGCATGAGATCCACCACTTCAGGTGTTGATCGATAAGTGTGTTTTTGCACGCTTGATAAAACTATTAGATTTCTATTCACAATCGGGTAATATTTGCTTTTGTATGGTAAAGAATCACCAATTGGAAAGAACAAGTAAAAATGAAGGAAAATAATTGAAATTGTGCAAAATCATGAATTTGGTGACCAAAATGCACAAATATAGAAAGTTCAGGACCTTGATTCAATTTATTGAGGACATGATTGAAATGAAAATTAAAATTCAAGGACTAAATTATACAAGATCAAAGTTGAGAGACCTGATGCGCAAATATGCAAATGACTAAATTGGAAGAACGCCTTGGCTTTCAACTAGGGATTGTTTTAATTGTTTCTTCAAAACTCGGGGGCCATGGCTACAAATTTTGAAGGGTTTTGAGGGTTTTAAAACATAGAAAAGGGCCGCCAACGCTTGATTTCTTTCAATGTCCATTTTTTTTCTTGTTCATTTTTTCCTCTTGTTTTCCTCTTGTTTTCTTTTCTTTTTATTTTTCTTTGTATTTTGGGAAAAAATCTAGAGCGGAAGGAGAAGCGACCAAAAGAAGTTGGAGAAACATTTGGGGAAAGTCAAGACAAATTCATACATTGCTTCAAATAACAACCAAAATGGGTTTTTTCTTTCATATTGTTTTTAAACCATTATTTTCTCCAAATTTGTAATGAATATTATGAATCTTTTTCCTTTGTTAACATACATACATAATATGGGCCAATTTCTTGTGTTTGGATTTATGGTAGTAGCTAGACCTAACTTTAATTAATTTTAATATTTGCTCTTTAATGTTAAAATTACTTATGTCATGTGTATTTACTATTGATTTTCATGTTATTCATTTATTTGGCCAATAAATGTTTGTATTAAGTGATTTGTGGGATTATTGAGAAATTCTTGTACATTTTAGACCACAGAGTAAATACTCTAAGTTCATGTAAGGGATAGAAATATATCACTAATCTTAGGTGATCCATTGAACAATTTTCACAAAAATTGAATGCGGTTGTTTGGTTTTAATCAATATAGAGATATAGTAGGTTAAATCAATTAACTATGGTTAATTTAACTCGAAAGAGGAAATTAGCTAAAATAGAAAAATCAGGTTTAACACAAGAAGTGGTCCACCACTTCAGGTGTTGATCGTGCAACCGTAACACGATGAGTGGTCCCTGGGGGCATAGTCCTCCCCCCTATTAGGGCTAGATTCCCTAGCGTTTGAAGACTCTCCAGAGCCTTTCCTTGAGGGCTCGGTAGTTCGTTCCCAATCCCTCTGCCGCCCATTTTTCTGTTAGGGGCCCAACTCTAGGGGCTTTCAATTTGAAGTTCATAGCCCAGCGTAATGCACTATGATACGTCATTCTTGAAAAATAAATTAAGAAATTGAAGAATGATCCAAGCACTGTGATGTGGAGAATTATTGAATATGATGGGGCTATTGTGTAAGGGGGATGGCGTCCCAAATAAATAGTTCTTGGGGTGGATGCCTAATATTGGGTGATATAAGGTTTGATCGTGCCTCTCCTATCAGTTACAACTTTTTGAAAAAAAGTTGTTGCATTTCCCTATATAGAGTTAACTAGTGTACACAATTGTGTTTGTGCTTTCCTTTGAATCTTTCTCCTTTTGGTTGGAGACTAAGAAGATATATTTGTTGCTTCGGCGATGTTAATATGGATCAACTTTATTTTCCCTCAACGAATTGATTGCTTCTGTTAAAAATAGCATTTTGGCTTTGGATGGAAATGATAAAATTTAGTATCTTAGTTTCAAGACGAGGTTAGAATCGGTCGCATAAGAGTGAAGGAGTTCCTGAAATTTGTAGATAAATTCTGCTATGAAACCATCGTATATAAAAGCTTCGTGCCTTGACTTTGCAACTGTTGAAGTTATTCCCATTTCAATTATATCAAAAAAAAAAATTCACGCGGTTGACAAAGAACCCCAAATAAGCCCCCTATAGCAAGCATAATAGGCATTGACGAAACAAAAGCTAAGTCACCGATTAGCCAATTGTAGCATTTACCTCAAATAATAAACAACCGATGGCATTAAATTCGAAATAGATTCAACAAGTTGACAAGTATTCTACAATAAAAGTTCATCGATGTATAGTACAAAACCTCTAAACAAGATAATTTCCAGCTATCTTGGCTGAAATACGGGAGACACCCTTCTTCGAACAATGTCTTGGATCTGCTCAACTGACAACACAGATGCCTCTGAATCAAAATTCGCATTCTCCATCTGCTGGCTAACCTACAGTAGCACTCCTCCCAGTTAAAAGATTGAACCTAACTTATTTATTCTCAATTTAACCAGTAGAAGAGTTGATTATTTGAAAACTTGCTTATTTACTTATAATTGAATTCGCCAGACAAACTGAGGTCTAACAAATTCAAATAAGAGAGGAGCATGCTGATTTGTCGTAAAAATGATGGCAGGCACATGTACATACAACAAGATTTCAGGCTCTCTGCAGCATATCAACAATGTACAATAATTTTTTGATTAATTGTGAACCATAAACCATAGTCAGGCAATCCAAAGTGTTCGAGAAATCTATAGGATTTTGACAAAAAATAAATAAATAAATAAAATTCTCATTTGGCCATCACATAATAAATTTGACAGTATTGCAAAAGCAAATTACAATTAATTTCGCAGTAATTTGAAGGCATGATGATCAGGAATGTCTTGTTTAGACAAATGGAAAGATAGGCAAGTTATTCATAAAATAGATCTCTGGCACAACATGAATAGAGTACAAATGACTAAGATGAAAGAATAATTGCTTAATCACACGTTTCATACCTTTTCAAGGATTGCCGACTGATCATCCAGGTGAAAGTTGCGCATGTATTTGAGCATCTCCAATTGCTGTAAAAAATGCAAACCCAATCCATTCATCAGTAAGTTAACAGGATTATTAAAATTGAAGAACCTTTACCTGTTCTTGTAACTTCCTTTGCACCTCCATTCTTTCTGCAAATTTTTCTGGTCCAAGCTCAGCTTCTTCACATGCTGTCTCTTCCCTTTCAAGTCAACACAAAAGGAAAAATAGTTATTTCTTCAGATATCAACCGCCTCGTATTATTTGTGCCCAAGTAGAAATAAACTTTCAAGGCGAGAGAAGGCTGAATGGAAGAGCAAAAATTAAAATGCCTATGGTTGTGAATTGGTGGCTAGAAACTAATAGAAACACATCAACTGAATAGCTTAACCAATGTACACCGTACTGATAAACCATATAAGCAGTGAGAACAGACGTGCGCACATATAGAGAGATTGTGCATACTTGGCTACGAATACATAAAACTGGATCAGCAAAGCTAGATCATTCTCGTAAACCATGTTTACTTTTCCCAAGCAAGCTAGACCAAACCTTGGATCTGCAATTGACAAATAAATAATTCTTATATGCGTAGTATATTAGTACATGAATAATACAAAGAGATAATGTGTATTGGACTTAATTTGTAATAAAAACATACTGCAGTTTACCCATGAAGGTACAAAGAAGAAATGCAGATTATTCTTCACATCAGTGTAACGCATATATATAATGCAAAGTTGATATTTCCCTTGTCCAAAAAAATTGCATTTGACTGATTGTAAGAAAGCATGACTATAACGAATCCTAGAGACACGATAGAAATCGGTGAGGGGTAAGATGAGCTTAGACCCTCCCAGAGCGGACTGTACGTAAGTTAACGGTTTGAACATAGAGATCGAATCGTTACAAAAAAAATGCACATTTTATTGTAACGACCTAAGCCTCGTGCTCTAGCCATTACATCATATGTACTTTCTATTTTGGGAGTCTAGCATATCTTATTCCTCAAGAATTTGTATCGCATCCCTAGGTTTCGAACCCATGACATTTCTCTTAAGAGAAACTTAAGTTGAATATTGATACTAATTGGACGCGATAGAAATTCGTAAAAGATAAAATGAACTAGGCTCTCCCAAAGAGGACAATACGCATGATATAAAGGCTTGAGCACAAGACCTATGTCATTACAATGACTATGTCACATTCTATATAGCCTAGTTTGTAACTTGTGTGAACAAAAGAACACAATTGTATCCACACAAGATAAGGCCGATCTGATGTCATCTAAATGCTCTTGAATTGCATGAATTGCCAGTTGACAAACATTGAAACGTAGACCAAGCTTTTCACTTTCACCCAATAATACAAGTTGATTCAACCAACCAAATTGCAAATACAAACTCTTAATTAGTCCAATTGTAGTTTTCCAGTTCATTAACCTACAATAGAGTATGCAGTATAGATATTTTAAAAATTAAAAAAGTTCAACAAAAGGATACTGTACCATATAGCAGGCATGACCTAAATCAATATAGTTTCTTTCATTTTCTTAGAACAATAGCACGAAAAAAGAATAGCTTAATCAAGACGTCTTACATTAGAATTATAAACATTTCAGAATTAGATTGAAATCAACTGACGAAACTGATTTATATAATATATATCAGATTCAACTGAGAAACTTTCAGCACCAAAACCTTTTGATTTGGTTTTAGAACTATAGTTCACTTTCAACCCATGCATTTGAAAATTTTAGTACAGAAACATATAACCAGCTAAAGACAATTTCTTAAGCTTATAATTCTGTTAATCTAAACACCTGCCTGCCACTACAAGTGACTCGTGTTAATTTGGAAAAAAAAGTTGAATACAAGTGGAAAAATTTATGGTTCGTATAATCCATATACCAACTAGGACCACTCACCAACTCCCATCTCCTGAAATATCTCTTCTTGGATTGCAGTAGTTACAGCTACAGCTTCCTGCACGTATTACAAAATTTAATTAACAAACTCATGACAAAAGAAGCATTCATGCCCACAGGAGAAACAACCATCATAATTTTTGTGTCTCTCTCTTATCTGGAGGAAGATAAAATAGCAAAACTGAAATTAAGAAAGCCTTGGAATACATTAAACACTGAAAATTTTTCATCACAACTTCTAAGGCTTGGGCAAAGTATAGCATTCAATTTGAATGAAAACGGCAACTAATCAGAGCCTAGAACCCAATAACTTTTTTGACACCTCAGCATGTCACCTTCTCTTAGCAAATGAGAAGTCATCAACACGTTTTGTTTTTTCACACCTTGGTGTCTTTTCATTTACTAAGAAAAGATTACCTGCTCGACTAATCAAGTCAGGAATTGTGCCAACCTACCCAACCCATGTGAAGAAAAGCTATGGATGGAGGTCCAACATAAACAGCTTTTACACTTGGAAGTGAAACTATACGTCACCTCAAACACTAATCCCAGGTAGAAACTAAGCCCATATTTGAGCCACGTTATGCCCCTGTTTGGGCTCCATTAAAATTTATTTTTGGGAAAAAATGTATTTTGAAATAGTGATTGTTTGAAAAATGTGTGATTTAGAAATAAGGAAAAGTTTTGAGTGAAAAATGTGTGTGGTTGAAAATAAGAAAGAGGAAAAATGTATTTTTACAAAAATGGAGCCAAACGTAGGCTATTTAATTTTTCCCCAACTCATTTTCATCGGTACATTATCCCAATAAAATAATTTTGCATATAAACCCAAAATTTTTCCCATTTTTTTAACCAATCTGCAAAAAATTGGCTTTTTACAAAATCTATCCTACAAAAATGGGACTCAAATAGAGATTAAAGTTCCTCGGCAGCCTTGAACCGATTGTTTCATTCTCCACATTGTTTTCTCTGAATAAAATGCACAAATTCATGATTCGAACTTTAAAACAAGTGTTGTCGATTAACGGAAAAATGTTAATACTATTTTGTTAACAATCGAAGAAATTTAGAGGAACCTGCTTTTCATTTACAGCATCAGCAATCCGTTTCTTCACATCTAAGCATCATTCAAAAAAGGGAATAAGAAAACGAAATATTAATAAAAATGCAAAAGAAGCATTGAGTAAAATTACCAGGCTGCGAGGTGAGAAAGGCAAAACGGTCAAAGAGATGAAGCAACTGCTCTTTTGATAGCATTCCGGAGCTTTGGTAATTGGTACTCCATTGCATTGCTGAGTATAGAAAAATGGCTATGGAGAGCGATAAAGTTGATTTTGCCGTTTGAAAGAGTGTTCAGAGTTTATGATTATCGAAGGCTCAAACCCCAAAATCATTACTTGCAGTCAGGATAGGAGAACGTGGGCCAACTATCTTCTTTTTTTCTCTACCACTTTTTTTTTTTTAAATCCCTTTTTCTCTAAATTATTCAAAAAAGAAAGCGATGTCTGGTGGACAGGGAAATGGAATTGTGGAGTTTAATAATTAAGGGGGAAGAACGGGATCTGGATTTGGATTTGGGAACAAAATAATTGCGATTTAATTTAATAGTAACTTAATACCTACATATCTATCTTTATCCTAAAATTAAATGTGATTTTTAACTAGGTTGGTGAATAAATATTTAATGTGAAACGTGTTTATATGGAAGTCACACAAACTTGAATTGAATAATATTTGCTAATATGAATTCATCGTGTAACTTTAATACAATGTTTGATACGGATTTTGGGAAGCACCATCAAAATATTTGTTTAGTTGTCACCGACAAGTTACTCGTCGACTTTAGATTTTTACTTTCTAAATTGGATCGATGTCTGAACATTTATTGTGAAATTTGTTTACATGGAATTTTGGTGTGATAATGAATAATTGGAAAGTATTCATTATGAATTATTGTGCAATAATAATGAAAAGTTGATACTCATTTGTAGCGGAATGGTAGGTTGGAGACTAATGATAGTTTTGTTGACCTCGAAAATGAGATTACCAATTTTTTTCTCATATAACCAAAATTTTTCTTTCCTAAATACACTGGTTAGCTCTAGTATGAACAACAAGAGAAATTACTATTTGAAATTAGGATATTCAAATTTGCATGCCATTGTTTATTCCCAACTCTCCCTATTTATAGATTTCTTATGAGGTCATGGGGATAATTGAGTCATATCTATTAATAACACGTGGGCAGTCATTGATTAATGCACTTCTAACGAAATTTGTTAGCTTTTCACATTTTATTCCTTAGTCCATGTGTTCCTCGTCCATTGGTTTTGAATCATGCTTTACATTCTTAATCACGTGTGCTTTGATAACGGTTTCCGTTGATGTGAAATAGACGATGAAATCAGTTAAAGTATATTTGTTCCTGCTCATGGTCGAGGTTGATTATAAGGCCTCGCATTATAAATGCTCACTTATATTATCATGCTCCTGTACATGGTTTGGTTGGCTTTAAAAATATTCGTCGGTAAAGGCATATGTGTTGAAACTTTTAATGAAACTTAAATCTTATAAACTTGCCAAAATTTTCATGTCAAACCAACAAGAACTTTAAATTAACGCGGAAAATACCTTGATCCATTGATTTTTAACTTGAATAATGAATCTTGAATTTTGATCTTTATATCTTCAATTTGATTGCTCAAACCGCCTTCTTGATTCCTAATTGTGGGTTTATGGATCTTCCTCTTCAATATATTTTCTCTTGTATTCTTGTGTTGATGGGATGTCACAAAAAATGAGAAAATCGTATATGAATTGGGGATCATAACCTCTTATATAGTTCCATATGTATTCGGTCCATCATCAAATACAAACCTTAATTGATCCATTGGGCCACATATGGCAAATTAAATAATTTCTCAACAATCTCCCACTTGGGCCACATATGTTACCTTATAAATGTGTATAACATTATGAGCTCAAATCTTTTGCCATCATAACCAAAAGTATCTCCGAACAATCTCGTCCATTGATTATATCAATATAGAATCAAAGCGGTTTTCGTTATAAATATCATAACTAAACTCATCAATAGTCACGTACATCAATACAATCAAATAACATAGATCAAGTGTGGATGTGTAGCATGAAAATTACATGTAATGTGATCCAAACATTCATATTTCCAACTGGTTCTACTTTATTCTTTAATGAGATCAACCATAAACTTTAATTAGAGTTGAACTGAACTGAATACTTTATTTCTGAAATGAACTGAAATAAACTTGAATGTGCACAACCAAAATTATGTGTCAAAAGACAACATTCAAAATACATACTCCCACGAAACTGGCATATTATCAAAAGATGCAACACCCATGTGAGCATTATGCTCATGAAAGACCTTGGGTGGTAGCCATTTAGTAAATAGATCCATGATTATAGAGTTTGTCCTTATATGCTTTATATAAACTTAATCACTCTGAATTCTTTTCTTGGCAACTAGGAACTTAATGTCTATGAACCTTGACATCGTCATGTTCCTATTGTAATACAAAACTGCTATTGTCACAAAATAACTTAAGTGGTCTTTCAATTCCATCCAAAATATGCAGCCTAGTGACAATATTTTGCAGTCATATTCCATGATCAAAATCAGAATATCCAACGATATCCAATTGGTCTGATTTTCCTGAATGTGATCGTGCAATCCTTTGTTCTCTATAGATACCGAATAACCTAATGGATGCTTTCCGAATTTCCATCGCAAAGTTAATAAATATATGTCTAATATTCCAACAATGAATGTTATATTCGGATGTGTGCAAACCAGAGTATACATTAAATTCTCAATTGCTAAAGTATAGAGAACTTTGATGTATTTACACTTCCTTTAAATTTATCATTAGGGCATTAATTGAGACTAAAGTTATCTCCCTTAATTGTAGGGGTATCACTTGATTTTCATATCTGCATTTCAAATCTTTTAAAAACCTTATCAATACAGATCTTTTGTGGTAATCTAAAAATATACCAAGAGCAATTTTTGTGTATCTATATCCTTAATACAAAAAAGATATCACTAAGATTTACTTACTTCCACTGAACTTGTGATATCCACAATCATCAACTAAATTCATCTCAAAACCAAATGACATAATTATTTGATAAAATTGTGATACCATTTCGGGAAACGAGCTTAAGCCCATAGATGGATTTCTTTAATTTGTAAACCATCTAATGTTACTTAAAATCAAAATATGCCACAGATGTCAAAATTGTCCTAAAAGAGTTTTCATGGAAACCGGAGAAAAATCTCTTCATGCATGGCATCAATACATTCTTTAGAACTATTCCCTTGCATGACTTGATAAAGTTGATTGATCAGTTTTTCTTTCGTTAATCTATGTCGACCTTATTTTCTTAGAGAAAGAAAGACTATGAAGTCATCCAAAATTGTCTTTCTCCCTTTTATAGTGGATTTCATTAGTTACATTTGTTCTTGAGGTTGTTGAGTTTGTTTTTTTGGAACAATCTCTTGATTATGTATGTGGAATTTTGTAACATTATCTTGATCCGAAATTGCTTCTTGAACCAGATTTGAAACAAGAATTTGTCCCTGAACCAAATCTTTGTCAATTGCAACAAAAGAAACATATACATATTCTTTATCCAAGACAAAGTCATTAATCTTATAACATTATCTCCCCCCACAAACTCTACATCCTCAAGAAATTGAATATTTTCCGTTTCGAAAATTGACCTGATAATGGGACCTTTAAAAATTTGAAACCCCTTAAAAATTGTTTTGCTTGTAACTTTGTTAAGAACTTAAAATATCTTGATGTACTACAGGTCGATTCTACATCCCCCTAGGAATATTGCGAAAGGCCCTGGACGTCGTTCTCCTGATTCGTCACATTTGTCATAGTATTCACCACTATGGTAAGATTTGACTTCTTAAATTCTTTTATTGAGTTGATTTTCAAACTCGGTCTTGTATACCTTGAACATGTCCAGTGTTTGAAATTTCTCATCGAAGAAATATAGGTAGCCAGATTAAGAAAAATTCGTCTATGAACGTAATAAATGACCATTGACCATTCTAAGAATCTGAAGGGAATGATCCACAGATATCGATATAAATTAGTTCTAAGACGTCTGTAGTCCTGTTCTTGTGTGATTCTATGCCGCAAGTGCACGGGTCTAGAACAAGTAGTAAAAGTGGACCTAAAGGGTCCAAGTCGATCCCTCAGAGAGTGTGGAATTCAATTCAACGTATATCAGTCTTAATTTTAACGACGACACACACACAGATTTAAAAATGATTTAAAAACTCTAAAAACTACAGTTAGACTAAAAATTGATAAAAAGACAGATAAAAAGTAAAAATGTTTTGGTTTTGAAAATATGTTGGAATTTATGTTTCGCTTAACCTATACTTCATTAATGTCGATTCGATCACGTGCAAATGCTAATTATCAAAATACAATAGTTAGACCCGATTTTTCTGTTTTAGTTAATACCCCCTCTCGAGGTCATATTAACCCTAATCGGCGTATCTATACCGCATATCTCTATATCGATACAAACATAACCAACAGCATGATTTTCTGTGAAAATACTCAGCGGGTCACTCAGAGTAGGTGTATATCTCTATATCACCTAAACGCGCAAAAAATATACTAATGCAAATCTGAGATATCAATCATTTCGGTCTATTTAACGCAACTATTTTACAACAATCACATCAATATTAATTACAATCATTTAAGCGTCACCAAAAATGAAGTAAAACCTAACAATTTCATCTAGTCGTCAATTAAATGAAATTATTTTAAACATGATGATTGATACACTATTATTCTGATAATCAATGCATAATAAAATTC